ATGTGCATATTTTATGTTTAATAAAATATAAAAGTGTATACAAAAAACAAAACTCATCAAATATAATTTTGTTCTTATTATTTTAAAAATTATAAATGCTTTGAAAAATGTATATTTAAAAAAAAAATAGAAAATATGTATATATATATTTTTTGAATTTCAGGTTTAGTAGTGTAGTAAAAATAAAGACTAGCCGACGAGATGAGCTCGAGCACGAGCCGAGGTTAAGCTTGGCTCGTGGGTCACAAGCCACGAGCTCGGGCATTGGCCGAGCCGACTCGATCCATTGCCACCACTAATTGAATATCATATAATCGTCACATAGATTGTGGCTCAACCCTAACGAGGATGAATAACATTATTCGATTGAAAATGAGTAAAAGAATGAAAATGAAAATTTTAATAGTGCGGCTTAAGTGAATAGTTACCCTCAACTCCTCATCCAGTCATTACCCACTAATTCATCAATATAAAAATAGGAATGAGTGTACTACGCAGTCACCCATCGCCGCCGGAAACAATGGAGTCTTTAATCCTCCAACTGCACGACATTGCCGCCGTGAAGTTCGGAAACTTCAAGCTCAAGTCCGGCATCTTCTCCCCAATCTACATCGATCTCCGCCTCATCGTCTCTTACCCTTCCCTGCTCAGCCAAATTTCCCAAACCCTCGTTTCCATCCTCCCGTCCTCCACGAAGTATGATGTCGTTTGTGGGGTACCCTACACCGCCCTCCCCATTGCCACCTGCATCTCAACTGCCTCTAACATTCCCATGCTTATGCGCCGTAAGGAGATTAAAGACTATGGCACCGCCAAGGCCATTGAGGGTGCTTTTGAGCCCAATCAAGTTTGTCTCATCATTGAGGATCTTGTTACTAGCGGCGCCTCCGTTCTCGAGACGGCGGCGCCTCTTCGTGCTGCGGGACTTAAAATCAATGACGCTGTCGTACTGATAGATCGGTAAATGTGAAAATACAAACATTCCTCAATTGTGTTTATAGTTAATTAGGGGGGGTGTGTGTGTGTGCATGTGTATACCCTGCTTAATGTTACATTCGATTTGTAAATATGGTTAATTAGGATCTGGAGCTGTTACTTATTGAGTTTAGCTTATTATTCTATATTTGTGTATGTGCCTGTGTATACCCTGCTTAATGGGTTACATTCGATTTTGTTGATTATATGGAGAAATATGATACATGTGGGACAGTGGGAGTGAATCCCGTTGCTTAAGGCTCAATTGTTTTATGCCTAAGAACGAAACGCACAGGCGTGCCTGATGCTAAAAGAGTTATACCCCTCAAGCCGAAAACTCTCCATGACAGTGTATTGACTGGGTAGCACGTTAAATAAAATTCACTTTTATACTTTCTGCTTCTGTAGTTGACTCTTTATGGCATACTTGAGCTTGTTTTATCTTGCCAAAGCATATTATAGTTTCTTTTAACAAGGTAATTTTGATGTCTCTACAGGAAAGTAAACGCCTTGAGGCATGGGGTTAAATCTTTGAAACTTTTGTATAGTACAATAGTTGTTACCATATAGTATAGATCTAAGCTCTTATGTGAGAGATTTTTCTTCTGGTTCTTATCTAAATGAAAATAAATAGGATATTGTGTATAAACCATATAATAGCAATATTCTTCAGTCAATTGAGGTGTAATGACATGCATAATACATAGGTCTATGTCGTGAACTTTTGCTTGAGTTTGAAATTATATTTTATCCAGCATTCAGCTGCATTATATTTTTTAGTAGTTTCTTTGTTTGTGTATATATATGTCTTAATTTCTTTTTAAAAATTATTTTTCCGTATTAATTTTTATGGGGACAGGGAACAAGGAGGGAGGGAGAATTTGGCAGAAAATGGCATCAGACTACATGCAATGGTGAAGCTGACGGATATGGTGAGGATATTGAAGGAGAAGGGGAGAGTTTCAGAGGAGACGGAGAAGATGGTTCTGAAATTCTTGGAGGATAATAGAAAGGTTTCGGTGCCGGTAGTAGCAGCTCAAAAGAAGGTTAAAGTCAGAATTCCATATGGAGAGAGGGCAAAGATGTCAAAGAATTTGACGGGGAAGAAATTGTTCGAGATAATGGTGCAAAAGGAGACTAACTTGTGTTTGGCTGCTGATGTTGGCACTGTGGCTGAGTTGCTTGACATTGCTGACAAGGTAGGCAAAAGAAAACGAAATCCTTTTTATTTTATGATGATTTTAGCTTCATAAATATTCATAATATGAATGAAGGGACTTTTTACTTATCTACAACTTCTACTATTCTGCACTAATAGAAGTAGCCATCAGCATACGATCGCAGAAATACTGAGAGTTGAATCTTTCTGGATGCTTAGAGGTGGTGTTCCCAGTATCTGGAAAACAAGCCTTATAAGTCCGTCCCTTACATAAACTCACCTAAGATTAACTTTTTGTCCCTTTATATCTGAATTTATATTTTTCAGGGAGGTGGATGATAACTGTTATTACTTAACAATCAGAGGTTTAGCTGATAGTTGAACAACTAGAACTGAGAGCACAAACGAGGGATAAATGTAGAAATCCAAATAAGATGAAGAAAAAGTAAAAGGACAAAGAATTTACTCATCTTATGTGTAGATTGTTTTCTCTTGCTGTTATGGGGAATTGGAGAAGTTGTCCAGGAGGAAGAAACAGACAGATAGATTTGTTATGAGTTGCACCCCTTGTTTGTATGGTTATTTTTACAATGTTATCATATTTTCTGAAATTTGGTGTTTTTTTAATGGGTTTTTAATGGCTAATAGGGTAGTCAATTTCTGCAGGTTGGACCTGAAATCTGCATGTTGAAAACACACGTGGATATATTTCCGGATTTCACACCTGACTTTGGATCTAAACTTCGAGCTGTATATTTCTATCTTGTGAACTTCTTTTATCTCCTATGAGTAACACTATAGAGTTATTGCTTTTCAATGGCCGATAGATCCATGTGTGAGATAAACTTGTATCCGTACTACATGAAAATTGGCTTCTATAAGTAGTTCCTTCATTATGGTTTTAGGTTCGATGCTCCACTTGAACATGGACTGCTTATCGATTTTGACACTATATAATTTGATCTTCACCAATAAAAGGGGAAAAAAGAAAAAGAAAGAAAATAAAAGGAATATGAGCCTCCTCATTAATTGTGTCTGTCTCTGATATGACATTTATCAAATGGAATGATGATCATGATTCTTGACTTACTGTTAAAACTTAAAAGTGTTCATTGTTTTTTAATGATGAAATAAGCAACATATGGAGTGAACTGTAATTCCGTAAAATTAGGATTATCTTACATGAAGATTGGTCCATGATGCTCATAATTGATAAATTTGTCAATTATAGAAGTATTGCTTACTCATAGCGAATTGCGCCTACCACTTGTGCAGATTGCAGATAAACATAATTTCTTAATCTTTGAAGATCGCAAGTTTGCTGACATCGGTAACACGGTCACCATGCAGTATGAAGGGTGAGGAGTTGCTCTGCATTTTGTATCAAGATTCTTCTGTTGCTTCCCTTGAGAGTTTTAATTTGTTTTATGCAGGGGCATCTTCCGTATATTAGACTGGGCAGATATAGTAAATGCTCATATTATTTCAGGTCCTGGAATTGTGGACGGGCTAAAATTGAAGGTTTTGTTGCTTTTGCATTTGCTTTTGCTGTTCTTTTGGCTGGATATGGATCATACGAGGCTTTAAGATTACTCCATGCCCATGTTTGGTTCGGATTAAAATCTGATTTTAATACAAGTCAAAGTCAAACAATTAATATTAATCGCATCTTTTATGGGTCCTACAACTTTTCAACTACACATTTCAAAAACTTCTCAATCTACTAAAAATCTAATTTTAATCTCCACCAAACACCCTCCATATCTAATTTTAAACACTAATTATGTATAGGGTTTACCCCGTGGTAGTGGCCTGCTGCTGCTTGCTGAAATGAGTTCATCTGGTAACCTTGCCAAGGGTGATTACACTGCTGCAGCTGTGAAAATTGCTGAAGAACATTCTGATTTTGTTATTGGTTTCATCTCTGTCAATCCTGCATCATGGCCTTGTGGTCCAGGAAATCCGTCCCTTATTCATGCAACCCCAGGTGTTCAAATGGTAAAAGGTGGAGATGCTCTAGGACAGCAGTATAACACACCATATTCTGTAAGCTGCATTCTCATTATCTAGCTACTCGCTTTTCTAGTCATATGTTGAGAGAAAGATACGACAAAATGTGCTAGTTGAAGTTGCGAAATTCCAAGTCAACAGGAAACATGAGCTGCAAAATATCTGTGTTTAGTTTTCCTTTTTTATTTTTTTTTGTCAAATATAATGGAATTTGTGGATAGGGAGTCCCACGCGCGAGTCATTTAAACGTGCGGTAGCCTTTTTTTGAAATTAATTAATTAAATACTTTTTATGACTAGTCAGAAAAAGAATCATCTGGTCAACTGACTTCTTGCTAACAGAAATGTCACTTGTGTTACAGTAAAGGTTCTATCTACAATTAAGATAATCTCATGGACATTGGGTTTGGAATGAAAATTTGTCTGCATTGAGTTCCATGTTTTCTTATAGAACTTGTCATTTCTATATTTATTTATTTATTTTTGTGTTCCCCTAAAGTCTCTTGAAATAGAATAGAAGGCTGTTTTAAAAGCTGATTCAATACTCTGTAATTTATCTTTGTATTGATTTTTACTAGACGTATGACAACCCAATATGGTTTCAGGTCATTTCTGAAAGAGGCAGTGATATCATAATTGTTGGCCGTGGAATCATAAAGGCAACAAATCCTGCAGAAGCAGCCCGGGAGTATAGGCTTCAAGGATGGGAAGCCTATCTCGAAAATTGCAAGTGATCCCCTATGCTTTGTTTTCATTTTCACCAGATTTGGAGGGTAGAGTTCTGTTTAACGAGCTGATGGCATTGTTCCCTCGAGTTTTGTGACCTGATATTTTCATGAGCATAAACTATGGTTTCTTTATGAAAGTTTTCGTTTGAGCTTCATGCCTGATTGCAGCTCTGGATTTCTTAGTTCTCATGTGGGTGCATGTAGTCAATAAATGTTTAAAGTTTAAACAAGCCTTCATGAATATTGGTTTTAGATCTCTAATGGCATGTTTATAGGAGAATTGGATAGTATTAGGAAAGAAAACGAAGGTAGAACTTCACTCCAGTAGGCTGTACCAAAAGTGCACTTAAAGCTTTCTCACTGTAGTTTTTCATTCTGAGATTTATAGTTTGGTTTCATATCATTGCTTTTTTATTCTTGACAACGCAATGTTATACATCTTCACAATTGCTTTATTCGAATATGTATGGAGTTTTAGATAACCGAAGCCAAAAATGAGCATTTTCGAAATCCGATCTGTGTGTATCAAAAACGATCATTGGCTACTCAATCTTTGCATGAATGGTTTAGTTTTCTCTCTCAATTTGATTTCTCTAGTATGGACTTTTTTGGGAATATGAAGGGACGTTATAGATATGAAAAGTTTTCAGTGATCTCAGCTTATGTTTATATATGGTCAAATTACTATTTATTAACAAATATTATATACACTTATCAGTCATTCATTGTTATCTATTTATCGTTTATAAGCAATTCATAAATAATGCATTTCTTGTTATAACGTATATTCATTGCTTTCTACTTTTCCATCTCAATACTTTTAATTTATAATTTTTTAAAATTTCAAATTTAACTGCAGAATTGGATTAATTGTTTAATAATTTTACTTTGAGTCGCGTCATGAAACATTACTGAACTTTAAAATGTTTTTGAAGTATCATTGAATTTTGTCAAAGTGCTCTCCATTTATTACTAGTTAAGATTTCGATCATTGCCTGAACAGAACTGTCTATGTGAAAGACAACCAACGCGCAGCACAAATTGCCATTCAATTCTCGTAAACAGTTTAAATTGAGACTTGAGAGCATTGTTACAAAGTTCATCGCAGCTATTCAAAGTTCAATAATTTTCAAATTAAGTAACTAAGTTCATGCTTGTGTGATTGACTGTTTATATCAATCTACGTGTAGTACTCTAGAACACGTTTCGTAGGTATTTAACGCAGAATGCTCACCACGTAATTAATTTCCCCTGAGTTATATAAATTCTTTGAATCTCTAACTTGATGAATAATCTTGAGTTTCTTTACTTTCTTGAATCTTCCTTACAGCTTGTTTGATATACATTATTTATGAAGAATGCAGTTTAGAATGATAGATTGATAGAAAATGTGTAGTTAAAAAAATAAAAATAAAAATTGAATTTACGTGTAATATTATTTTATTAAAAAATATGTGATTGCAAAAAATGGAGAAAAATAAATTTTGAAAATAATGTGTAACAGATAAGGGCTTAATATTCTTCACGAACACAAGACTAATTAATTCTACATACATTTGAAACGTGCGCTAATCAAGAAAAAATCTTTATCACAATTAAAACCAATACAATTTTCGAGACTAAATTTTCAGCCTTACTAACGAATGATGTTAAAGTGAGGAGCAGTGACTACTTTTGGCAAAAAAGCAAGAAGGCTGAAAAAACAAAAAGGTAAGGAGCATTTTAAGCAGTCGACGTGATAAGTAAAAAAAATGAACCGTATCATTGACGATCCCCACCTACTTTGTCTTAAGCCTTAGTGAATGAGGTAAATCGCAGGTTATGCCTCCAAGGGTACATGATGAAAGGCTGTTTGTACACTTACACTTACCCAAGGGCCAAATCCATATTTCAGAATTCGAACCCTTGACGCGACAGCCTCAAGTCAAGTTAGAGTTTTTCCACCTTCCCCTTTTACCACATGGAAATGTGCCCTAGGGGCTATTTATTTTCGTTTCTTGACCCTTCAGGAAATGGAAAGAGAANTGACGCGACAGCCTCAAGCAAAACTTATCATTTTTCCTTTTTCTTTTTGATTTAATTAGTTTAATTCTTTTATATATAAAAAAAATTTAAAGTTATTGTTCACTATGAAAGTGCAAATCACAAATGACGTTCAAATAATAAAGTGAACTTTTTGAGTCTGAATTGTCGATCTCTCGAATAATGTTTATTTTCGATTACACAACTTTAATCAAT